ACTCTAAGCTTTGTCTGTTTTTTCCTCAACAGCTTTATTGAGATATAACTCACATACCATGCAAATCACCTATTGAAAGTATACAATTCAGTATCTTTTAGCATAGTTACAGGGTTGTGCAACCATCACTGCAGTCTAATTTTAGAACATTGTCACCGCCCCCCAAAAAGAAACTTCATACCCATTAATGGTCACTCCCCATTTCTCCCAACCCCCTCGGCCATGTACAACCACTAAATCTACTTTCTGTCTCTACAGATGTGCCTTTTCTCGAAATTTCACATAACTGAAATCAACAGTATGTGGTCTGTTGTGATTGGCTTCTTTCCCTTAGCATGATGCTTTCAAGGTACATCATGTTTTAGCATGCTATTTTTACTGCTGAATTATATTTCATTGTAAGGACACACATACACATATATATGTGCATATATAGATATATAGATATACATAAATTTTGTTTTTGAAACATATGAATATTTACTACGTGTTAAAAACAAATAAACAAACATCAAAAGGAAGAAAAGTGGGTGTACTGAAGCCAGGAACCAAAATCCAGGGTAGAAAGCATCCTTATGGATGGCTCTTTGCACAGCTACAGTTTCTTTTGATTCTAGAAACTGGGCTGGGCTGTGGAGATGGAGCCCCACAGTCATAAAACTCAATAGCATGGTTCTGGGGGAAGCTCCAGAAGAGGCTGCCCAACAGGCTAGAGAGGTCAGGCTGGCTGGGGGGTTGGAACAACACTAGGACGCTTGGAATCAAGTAACTCTCCCTGAGGCCACATGTTGGACAATATGGGCTCTTAACTTTGCAGTTTCCTGAAGCTTCCCTGATACTGGATGGCCAGGCCTGGCTCTGGGAAGGGAAGGAGAGTGTTGGACTGGGATGGCTTTAAGAGTTTGTCTTCCCACTGGCAGGGGATGAAAATAGGTTGCCGGGGGCCATAATACCTTGAGAAGGGCGAGAACAGATTTGAGGGCTACCTTATTGTATTCCATTCTTGGAACAGGAAAGGGGAACTTCCCCCTCAAAAAGAGTGTGAGAACCCAGGAAGTGTGTTTGATGTCTGCAAAAAAATGGGACAGAATCCCCGTCCCTTGCTCTATTCTCAAGGAGCATGCACAGTGTCTTTCTTGACAGTTTCCTGTTCCATTTCCACCATTTATACAAAAGCAGTAAAATTAGCTTGCAAGGTAAATAACGACTCCCCTGGAGCAGCATCTCACACACCAGCCTGTTATCTGAGATAAATTTCAGAGCGCACAGCTGGACAGCGATGGGGAGAGGATTTTCTAAAACATATGTAAAAACAGTGAAAGTAAAATGTTGATGTTGAGATGTTTTATATGGTAGTAAAATGTTAGTGTTAAAATGTTTTATATGGTAAATGCCGTCTTCCTCTTAGAGAGTAAATTTCCTTGAGAACTGGGTCTCATTTATAGCACCTAGAAATTATAACTCCAAACTAGCCAGCATTTACTGAGGACACTGTGGCAGGCACTGTGCTGAGTTTTGTGTAATATATAGACACAGTACTTAGCTGTAGTTACTCAGTAAGTATTTATCAAAGAGCTTGAAAAAAAACTATCAAAGACAGTCAAGAAGAGAAAACTGGGGACTTCCCTGGTGGTGCAGTGGTTAAGAATCCGCCTGCCAATGCAGGGAACACAGGTACAAGCCCTGGTCCGGGAAGATCCCACATGCCACGGAGCAACTAAGCCCGTGTGCCACAACTGCTGAGCCTGCACTCTAGAGCCTGTGAGCCACAACTACTGCAGCCCGTGCGCCTAGAGCCCATGCTCCACAACAAGAGAAGACACCGCAATGAGAAGCCCACACACCCCAAAGAAGAGTAGCCCCCGCTCATCGCAACTAGAGAAAGCCTGCGTACAGCAACGAAGACCCAACGCAGCCAAAAATAATAAATAAAATAAAATAAAATTTATTAAAAAAAAGAGAAAACGGCAGAACAACATTCCTCATGAATATAAGCCCAAAGATGCTTAAAAAAATTGTAGAAAATTGAACCTAACATTGTAACCAAGTGAGGTTTATCCCAGAAATGCAAAGATGGTTAAGTTTTGGAAAAGTATTCAAAGTAATTCACCATATTCACAGAATAAAGGAGAAAAATCAAACGATTATCATCCTAATAGATGCAGAAAAAATGTTCAACAGGCTTCAATCTCCTTTTATGATTTAAAGAGAAAAAAAAAAAAACACTTCAGGAAACAAGGTAGATAGGAGAATTCTTCCCTCTATCAGATGAAGAGTATCTACTGAAAAATCTAGACATCGTACTTAATTGTGAAAGACTGAACGCTTTCCTCCTAAGATTGGGAACAAGCTAGAGTTGCTCATTTCACCATTTTTATTCAGTGTTCTACTAGAAATGCTAGTGTAAAATAGTCCTTGCTAGTGATATAAGGCAAAAAAAAAAAAAAAAAAATTAAGTCTTTATTGGATTTGTTACAATGTTGCTTCTGTTTTATGTTTCGGTTTTTTGGCCGCGGGGCATGTGGGATCTTAGCCCCGACCAGTGATCAAACCCATACCCCCTGCGTTGGAAGGGGAAGTCTTAACCACTGGACCACCAGGGAAGTCCCAAAAAATGTTTTTTAAAAGGCATACAGGGCTTCCCTGGTGGCGCAGTGGTTGAGAGTCTGCCTGCCGTTGCCGGGGACACGGGTTCGAGCCCCGGTCTGGGAAGTTCCCACATGCTGCGGAGCAGCTAGGCCCGTGAGCCATGGCCACTGAGCCTGCGCGTCTGGAGCCTGTGCTCCACATTGGTAGAGGCCACAACAGTGAGAGGCCCGTGTACCGCAGAAAAAAAAAAAGGTAGTGGGGAAAGTCAATATATATGTGATTTTGGTGAAGGGGGAGTACATGCAATCAAGCACATATTTTTTGCAGAAGTTTTCTGCTAGTCTCGTGAAGATTACTGCTAGTCATGAGGAACAGACGTCACCATGAAGGATTTTAGTGCTTTTCTAGATTCGAGGAGATGCAAGAATTGGGCTCATAAAATTGTCTCCTGAAAATATCTATCTGAAGACCTGTTCTGCCAGTTTTTCCCAGAGCACAGAGTGCCTCACTCCTGATCTCCAGCCTAACTCCTTTCAATGGGTGTTGAAGGTCAGCAGCTGCTGACTTTCATAATTTGATCCTTGTAGAGGTAGATGGCAAATGCCAATTTGTAGGTGACATCTTTAATCCCAGGCTTCTTCACAGCATCATGAAGCGTTCTAAGATGGTTAAGATGGAAACCTCAAGGCCTCCTGAAGTCTAGAAGTAACTTGCACAGTATCACTTCTGCCACAATCTGTTGGCGAAAGTAAGTAACAAAGCAAGCCAACATTCAAGGTGAGGAAGAGACTCCACGTCTGGGCAGGAGGGAATCTGCATTTTCTTTTTGTTTTTTGGCTGTGCCGCGTGGCTTGCGGGATCTTCACGTTCAGGGATCGAACCTGGGCCCCGGAGTGAAAGCGCCAGGTCCTAACCACTGGACCGACAGGGAATTCCTAGGAATCTGCATTTTTAACATAGCCTTCTCAGTTGACTCACGCACACCGGGGTTAAGTGTGAATTGTTCATTTCACGTATATGTGTACAGAGCTGTGTCCCTTTGCATTTGCTACAAATCTCTATTGCTAGCACTTAAATTTATATATATGTAAATGTTTTGTTTCTTTCAAAAATTTCTGAAATAGTAATGTGCTTAGGTACTATATGGAGATAGAATCAACGGAGCTCATAATGGTAGCAGTTTGTGAAAAAGAAGGAATTTCAGGACCTTGAAAGGTGAGTAGGCACTGGAAGGAAGGGGGGTATCTTAAGTGGGTGGACCTGGCATGATCACAGATGTGGGCTTATACCAGTAGGTTTAGGGGTCAGTGGCTGGTGCACAAGACTAAAGGGAATGGTTGAAATGGTTGGGGATGGATTATGGGTATGGGAGAGTGACACGATGAAAATGACATCTCACCATGACCAGTTTGTCCGTTGCAATGGCAGTTAAAAATAAATAGCTAACAACACTGCAGAAACCAAACTCATAATTCGAAAATGCCGGAACCTCTAGCCAGCGACAGTTGAGGCGAATACTATTTTAGAACACAGAGAAACGAAAACAGTGTACATTGTCCTGATCACTGAAGAATTCGCTTAAAAATCAGATCCCCCCCCACACACACACACTTCGCCCTGAGCCTTATTAAGATAAAACTGACATACAACAAAAGCAGATTCTTAGTAGTGGCACAAACTTGGGATACTACATATCGTACCCCCAATCACTGTCTCTAGGCCTCGGCCCACCGCCTGTTATTTATGTATTGCTTACTATGTGCCAAGCGCTCTGCATGTATGTGTATACACTCTCTCTCACTTAATCGGCCAGATTTCTCTACAGGGTAGAGTGTATCATGCCCATTTTACTGGTGAGGAGGAAACTGAGCCTAAGAATGGATTTGCCATATCACAGCCTGGAGGCTGCAGAAATGTAAAGCTGGGGCTGGAACAGAGGCTGTGCCGGAAGTGGGCGGGGAAACGAGTTTCGCGTGATTCAGGAGGGATCCACGGCAAAGGGAAGGGAAACGTGAAAATGGTGATTCGGTCCCATCTTCCAGAATTCTGCAGGCCCCTACGACAAGTGAAGAAACTTCTCTTTCAGACGACGTGTCTCTCTTAGGCGCCTTTCCAAAATCACGGTATCTGATTGGTGAGATTGGAGGAGATGGATGGTCCTGATTGGTAAGTTGGACCTCGAACCAGGCCTACGCCCCTAGGATCGGGCGAGGAGTGGGTGGGATTTGAAATTGAATCCCCCGTTTCATTGGTGAAAAGAAAACGAACCAGGAACTATTAGGAAGCGTAATTGGCTGTTGCCAGGAGCCTCCGCTGGCCTTATGGGCCCGGGTTACGGAAGCCGGGGAGGACTGAGCCCTAGGTCTACCTGCAGGAAGTTGGCAGCGGAAACCGGGATAGCGGTAGAGAAGAGGTACCTCAGGCTCAATGGCGACTGTGGAAGCAAGTGGCAGCGATGGGAAAGGGCGAGGGGTCGAGACCTGCGTCACGTATTACCGATTGGAGGAGGTGGAGAAACGCAACTCCCCGAAGGAGATTTGGCTGGTGATTCACGGGCGAGTCTACGATGTCACCCGCTTCCTTAACGAGGTGGGGCCCGGGAGGTGGGCGGCCCCTGGGAGCTGCAGCGGCGAGGGTGGTCGGGCCCGGAAACGCTGCTAGGGTGTATGGGAGGGAAGTGAGGCCTGGCTGAGGGCCAAGAGGCGTACGGAAGGGAGCACGACACTCCGAGACGGAGATTGGGGGGCCTTAGGTGTGCATGCATTTCCAGCCGTCACTAAACTCTCGTGCCTTCAGTAATATCATGCCTCTGTCACATATTGAGCACTTACTACGTGCTTGGCTAAACTCTGAGTCACCATTATGCCCATCTTACGGAAAGGGAAACAGAGACTCAGGGTCTCTCACCTAACAACCTAGGGCCATTCGAACCCAGGCCTGAAAGCTCCAAACCTCTGCTCTTTCCACTATGCCTTCTGAAGTAATATCATTTTTTGCTTTTCATTTTCTTTAGAAGCTGAGATGCCTCCTCCTTTCCCCCCATTATGCTGCCTTTCTTTTTTCTATTTTGAGTTGACCTTGAGTCCAGAGGTTATGAGTTGATTTTTTTCTTTTGGCCATTGATTCAGGTTCTGTCACCCTCTTTTGTAAATCAAGCCTGTTGTATTAGGGTTTTGTTTTGTTTTGTTTTTTTGTATTAGGTTTTACAAGTTCTCAAGACCCTAGTACAACTGAGTGATTATTTTTGTTTTGTTTTGTTTTCAAGGAAACAGACTTTCCATTTGTTTAACGCTACTGAGGTGTAATTTACATACAATAAATTGTGCCCATTTAAAATGTACAGTTTGATGAGTTTTGACAAATGTATTCACCCATGTAATCACAACTTCAATTAAGAAAGAGGGTTTTCATCACCCTAAAAAGTTCCGTCTTGCTTTTTTGCAGTCATTCCCCTCACTCCCAATCCCTGAGGGTTTAAGATATTTTAAATGCTTATTTATTTATTTATGGTGTGTATTATTTTATTTTGAGTAATAGATTAATAATCCTATGGTTAATTCCTTGTAAGTTCTTGCATAATATAATCCTGATATAACTGAGAAAAAGTTTCATTTCGCTTCGTTCTCTTTCTGAAGCAAATGTACTAGCAAAATTTGTTTACTAATTTGGGGCTTTCGGGATAAAGCTCTACATCCTGATTCATAAATCTATAAAAACTTTTAAAACGTAAAATTTCCCAAAAAGAATACTGTTTTATTTTATTATTACTTTTTAAAATAAATTTTTTAAAAAATTTATTTATTTTTGGCTGCGTTGGGTCTTTGTTGCTGTTCGTGGGCTTTCTCTAGTTGAGGAGAGCGGGGGCTACTCTTCTTTGCGGTGCGTGGGCCTCTCATTGTGGTGGCTTCTCTTGTTGCGGAGGACAGGCTCTAGGCGCGTGGACTTCAGTAGTTATGGCTCGCGGACTCTAGAGATCAGGTTCAGTAGTTGTGGCGCTCGGGCTTAGTTGCTCCACAGCACGTGGGATCTTCCCCGACCAGGGCTCAAACCTGTGTGCCCTGCATTGGCAGGCGGGTTCTTAACCACTGCGCCACCAGGGAAGTCCCTTTTTTTTTTTGGTCCCCCCCCTTTTTTTTAAGGACATTGTTTTAAATAAATCTTTCTAGTGGCCAATAAGTTAACATCTTAGAATTTAGTGACTTCTTGTATTTGTAGGGTGTATGGCCTTTATGCTTTTAAAAGTGCTTTCCCGTTATTTCAGCCTCAAATTAACTAGTTGAGAGTGAGTTGGATAGTAGTGAGCCTTATTTTAACAGAGATATAAGAAACAGGTTCAGAGAGATTTTGGTCAGACAGTTGATTAGTGGCAGGGTGTGCTTTAGATAAATACCTTAGTTTCTCTTGTCTACACAGTATTACTTTGGAATTCTAGACTTAGCTATGTCCTTTGATGTATGCCTCATAATAAGTTTCAAGTGTGGCTTGTAGCATACCTGGTAAAACATAGTTCATAATGGGCCAGTAATGTTTTTCATTTGTGGTTTCATTTCCCCCCAGTTTCTTCTTCTTCTTTTTTTTTTTTTTTTTAAAGAAGATGTTGGGAGTAGGAGTTTAATTAATTTATTTATTTTTGCTGTGTTGGGTCTTCGTTTCTGTAAGAGGGCTTTCTCTAGTTGTGGGAAGCGGGGGCCACTCTTCATTGCTATCGCGGCCTCTCTTGCTGCGGAGCACAGGCTCCAGACGCGCAGGCTCAGTAGTTGTGGCTCACGAGGCCCGGTTGCTCCGCGGCATGTGGGATCCTCCCAGACCAGGGCTCGAACCTGTGTTCCCTGCATTAGCAGGCAGATTCTCAACCACTGCGCCACCAGGGAACCCCTAGTTTCTTCTTGATTGATTCAGAATAGATAATGAACTTGGAAGGAACACTCAGTGCATGTAGTGGACATGAGTTTAATCTTTAATAGTGGTTCTCAGCCTGGTTTACCACATGCTGATGGAGCCAGAGACATCACAGGTGTGCCAGGGGCGGCCCTTCAAGCTTGAGTTGCCAATCTTTACCTGCAGTTAGCCATTCTAACTTACCTGTTCCAGCGTCTCTGTCCCTGCGTTCTTCTTCACTCCAAGTCTAGTCATTCATTCACTTACTCATCCAAATGTTTATCAAGTGTCTACTAAGTGCCAGATACTGTTCTAGGTGCTGAGGATGCAGCAGCAGAGAGTTAAACATTTATGCCCTCGTGGAGATTACCATCTATGGGAAGCAGAAAATAAGCAGAGTAAATAACTAAAATATATGCTATGTTAAGTGCTAAGGAGAAAAATAAAGCAGAGAAGAAGTCTGTGGACATGTATGGGGTGAGGGCGTGAAGATGAGGGGTTGAAATTTTAGGTATGATGGCCAGAAAGAGCTTGATTAAGAAGATGACTAGAGTAAAGGCCTTCTGTTAAGGGAGCTGGCCATGTGGATATCTGCAGGAAGAGATTTCCTGGCAGAGGGAGCAAGTTCAAAGGCCTTGAGGTGCAAGTATATCTAGTGTGTTTGACGAACAGTGAGGGAGGTTGTGGTAGCTGGAGAGTATTAGATGAGGTCAGTATGATCAAGGAGGGGACAGGTCAAGTACAGCTTTTGTGAACCTCTGTTTAGAAAGAAAATCACATAAAAATGGTTACAATATCTTACGACATTGACTAGAACATATCAAAGTGTATCTCTCTTAGCAAGGGTAAGTATGATTTTGTAAACCTTTGTTCACAAAGCATGTTTTTGTGAACCTTTGTTTCAGTTAATATTCTTGTTTTCTTACTGTATCACAAGTGAAAAAAGTTTGGAAACCATTGTTTTATGTATAATTAACCATTTCTGAAAAGAGTAACTTAACACATAGTGCTGTTTTAAAGCTTTCTATGTATTTTTTAGTGACTGTTGGCATAAGTGGGAATACTAGGTTGGAGGGAAAAACAATACAGAAGGGAAGAAAGTAAAACTCTTTAAACCCCAAGAATTTGTTTGAATCCTTCTACATCTTCCACACATATACCAATGTATACAGATATGTATAAGTAGAAATAGAATCATAGTATTCCTTAATTGAATTATAGTGTTTATTAATTGATTTGGTTTAATAGTAATAGTATTTCTTGGGTGCTTATTATTGTGGCGGCTTACATGTAATTTCTTTTTTAACCCTCCTAACAACCCATTTTAGAGATTAGAAAGCTGAGGAGCAGAGAAATAACTTTCATAAAGTCATAATGTTAAGTGGTACAGGTGGAGTTTGAACTCAGGCAGTCTTACTAGATAACCTATGCCCATTACATTAGGATTTGCCTCAGTTTTTTTTCATGGCTATAGAGTATGGAATTAGGTCTGTTTTACAACCACCTTCTTCCACATCTTAGATATAATTTGGAAGGATTGGGAATGTGACAGAGGGAAGTTAGAACTAGTACCTTTTTTCTGGAACCCAGGTAAGTTTTTCATTTTTTGAATAGGTCATATGGGTACGTTGTGAAAAGCCTTCCTCCCGTCTGCCCAGTCAACCTCCTCCTAAAGTTAACTACTGCTGTTTGTGAATCCTTCCAGAGTTTTGTTTTGCATGTACAAGCAAAAGTGAATGCAGTTCCTCCCACTGTTTTTTTTTTTTTTCACCCATAAGGTAACAGCATACAATACCCGCTGAAATATGCCTTGCTTTTTTCATGTAACTGTATATCTCAGGAGTCTTTCCATATCCATACCTGGAACTTCTTTATTCTTCATAGGATTTCTTGGACTGATTATAATTTGTTTAAGCAGTCTCATATTTATAAACATTTGGGTTGTTAGTAATATTTTGCTATCTAAGTTTTTCCCCCACCTAAGTCAACTCTATTGAGATCTAATGTACATACAATAAAATGTACAGATTTTATATGTGGAGTTCAGTGAGCTTTGAAAAATGTCTCATCTGTGTTATCACCATCACAATCACTGTATAGAACATTTCTACCATCTATGTTCCCGTACAACCACTGATTTGATTTCTAACACTGCAGAACCGTGTGTTATTTGTCTAACGTCTTTCGCTTAACATATCTGTGAGATTCATCTATATTTTTTCTGTGTATTAGCAATTTATTCCTATTTAGTGCTTCTTATTTCATTTTAACCATACTAAAATTTAGCTATTTGCCTTTGCCTGTTGATTGACACTTGGGTTGTTTCCAATTTTTGGCTATTATGAATAAAGCTGCTTTGTACTTTCACGTACAAATCTTTGTGTGGACATATGTTTTCAGTCCTCTTGGGTAAATAGCTAGGAGTGAGTGAGATTGCTGGGTCATATTTTTTTGTTTTTGTCTTTGTTTTACTTTTTAAGCAACTGCCAGACCTTTTCCCAGTCGCACCAGCAGTACATTAGTTTTCCAGTTTCTCCACATCCTCATTGTCACGTTTTGTCAGTGATTTACTTTTAGCCACTCTAATGGGTGTGTGCTGATATATAATGGTTTTAACTTGCATTTGCCTGATGACTAATGATGTTGAGTATCTTCATGGGCTAATTGGCCATTTGCATGTCTTGTAAAGTGTCTGTTCACTCTTGCTCAGT